GCATTTTGGGTGTTACCTTTGGAAGTTTCGGAGCTGTTACGAGAAGCAAGGCTGCTACACTAGGACAACAAACACTTCAAGTGTCATTCGCATCAACTCCAGTTTTTAGGTCTACTACTCCAAAAATATCAAGTTCCTCCACAAACACTTTAGAAGGAGGAAGCAGTGTTGCTGAAAAGATCAAGAAGACATTGGCTCTCCTTGAGCAATCTGGTTCCAAGAACTCTACCACAATGGAGAGTTATGATTCAACGAATGAGTCACCTCTACGTGCATCGCGTAATGTGAGTCCGCTGAAGATCAACTTACGCGATAATCCATGCTACTCTCCTACATCTCCAATGATCATGCAAACAATGGTGGTTGTTGCTTCTTCCTCTGATGAGCAACTCGCAAATCTGACGAAGTTGGTTGAAGGATTGACAAAACATGTACAACACCAAGAGTCTAGAATCGATAAGTTGATGGATCGAATGGAGGGACTTTTAGATGGAGAAGCGAGTCATGCGCCTGAAAAATGTGTTGAAGTTCAAGAGATTGGAGATCCTGCAAAGAAAGCACCAATTGTTAATGAGATGCCAGTTTCTTCTGAAGGGATGATCCCACTCGATCGCTTGAAGAAGTTCATTGAAGGCACTATCAAAGATAAGTATGAAGTTTCCACCAAGTCTTCTCATATGTATGCCAAGCCATACACTGCAAGAATTGATAACTTATAAATGCTTGTTGGTTATCAACCTCCCAAATTTCAACAATTTGAGGGTAGAGGAAATCCGAAGCAACATGTTGCACACTTTGTGGAGACATGTAATAATGTTGGAACATATGGAGACTATCTTGTCAAGCAGTTTGTCCGGTCTCTAAAAGGAAATGCCTTTGATTGGTACACAGATCTTGAGCCCAATTCTATTAATAGTTGGGAGCAACTAGAGCACGAGTTTTTCAATCGATTCTATAGCACGAGGTGTACTGTGAGCATGGTAGAACTTACGAATACTCGCCAAAGAAAGGATGAACCAGCCATAGACTTCATAAATTGATGGAGGAACGCGAGCCTGAATTGCAAGAATAGGCTTAGTGAAGCTTCTGCAATAGAAATGTGTATCCAAAGGATGCACTGGGAGCTTTTTTTATATCTTACAGGGAATAAAACCAAAATCCTTTGAAGATCTAGCTACTTGTGCTCATGATATAGAGTTGAGCATGCCCTTTGCCGGAAAGGATATGACGTTTGTCCATGACCCTCGCAAAGGAAGAGACAAGCAGGAACCTAAGAGATGGAGCAAATTTGGGCCCAAGAACAACAACAAAGAGTCAATGAATGTTAATGTGTTGCCTGTAAAGTTCACTACGAATGAAGAGAAGAAGCAAAGTGTGAGAACGAATTTTCAAGCGCGTTCAGACCAAAAATTGATCCTAAGGGAAATGCAAGAAAACGAATACCCCTTCTTGGATTCTGACGTTTCTGATATTTTCGATGAGTTGCTTGAATTAAAGCTCATTGAGTTGCCAGAGATGAAGCGGCCTGATGAAGCTGGAAATGCTGATGACCCAAATTATTGCAAATATCATAGACTTGTGAGTCATCCTCTTGAAAAATATTTTGTCTTCAAGGATACAGTGATGCGATTGGTTAGAGAAAAGAAGATTGTCCTTGATGATGAGAAAGCTAGTTCTAATCAAATCTCCATCACATTCGGCTCGCTCGATCCGATCCAAATACATATCGCTAAAAAGTATGAAGAAGAGTCATTAGACCTAGACAAATCTCAAGTTGATATAGATGGTGATGAAGGCTGGATTCTTATGACTAGGCGAAGACGCAACAAGTCAAGCTTACAAAAGAATCATGTGAGCAACCGATTAGAAAGAAGATAGGGTGAAGAAAACTGGTAAAGCAGAAATCAATCAAGCGCCCAAAAAAGGCAAAGGTAGAAGTGCATTACTACCAGAAACCCCGACATCCTGTAACTCTAGAAGAATTCTTACCAAGTTGGTTGCGCACAAAGTCTACTCAAGAAAACGTTGAGGCATCATGTTTTAATGCTGATAAAGAAGAAACAATGAAGGTATCTCCAACTGACAGAGAAGGAACAACGAGAGTATCATCACCAAAAGTGTCTCCTAGTAGCGAAGAAAAAGCAACAAGGGAAATCTCGTAAATGATGTATCCTTCATCTTCTGAAAAGCCTATTGAACCTTCTTCCCAAGAAACACATACATGTGATACAAAAATCACATTCACAGATAACGATCTTCTATTTGGTGAAACACTACACAATCGTCCTTCGTATATGGTTGGTCACGTGCGAGAGAAGAAGATAAATAGAATCTTGATAGATGAAGGATCTGGAGTCAACATTTTGCCTATCCACACATTGAAGGAACTCACCATCACGACCAAAGAACTTAGTGAAAGTCGTTTGTTGATACAAGGATTCAATCAAGGAGGACAGAGGTCCATAGGCTCCATTAAATTAGAAATCCATATGAAAGATTTGCGATCAAGCGCATGGATGCACGTGATTGATGCAAAGACTTCAAACAATATATTACTTGGTAGGCCTTGGGTACACGAGAATAGAATTGTCTCATCTTCTTACTATCAATGTTTGAAGTATCTTGAAGACGGGATTGAAAGGAAGATAGTTGCAGTTGATAATCCTTTCACCGAAGTTGAGACGCACTTTGCCGATGCAAAATTCTATTTGAAGAGTTATATTGTTAAAGGGACAAAATCTAATGACGTCAAATCAACCAAGTCTGACAAGATCACAAGCAAAAGAATCGATACGGCTGTCGAAAAGGTAAAAGTTGATACTAAAGAACTTTGTCCCAATCTCAATGAAGGGACGACCATGTCTTCAAAGAAGAATCTGACTTCTGGACTTCGCTATGTTCCAAAAGTAAAGAAAGAAGAAGTCAAATCATCTAACCTTCAAGAAGATACATTAAGAGGAGTAACTCTTCCTATCAGACGGATTGATGTAATAAACTTGCCTTCAAAGCTGTCAGGAAACACAATCGCTCAAA